ATGTGTTAAAGAAAAACAAATACATAAAATTTGCTAGTTTAATATTAAACACAATTTCAAACCACTTTAGTGTAGGAGTTGTTTTAAAAGGTAGCTGACAGCTTTGTTTTTGACCTGTCTCATTAGGCTGAGCTCTCTTTTACCTTTAAAATACGTATGTTTAAAAGTAAAATTCATATTTAGAACTACATTTTGGACCTAACATAAGGTCGGTAAGAAACGTTTATTCTCTGTGTGCCCATGCCTTTAATTAGTAGCAGTTTAGTTGCACTCTTGTCTAGACTCCTTGCAGAAAAATATCAAGAATGCTTTTCTCGCTTGGGTTTCCACAGGGGTGAATTACAGAAAAACTTAATGGATCCTCAGAGCCACGTTATTTTCCTACTTCATGAATTTGGGTCTAAATATATTTTTCTCTCTCTCTCTCTCTCTCTCTCTCTTCTTTCTTCTTTTCTCATGTTTACTAAACTCAGTTTAGCATGAGATGCAGTCAATAAAGTACTAGGAGGATATGTGAGCAAATCCAACCATTCAAAAGAAAACCACTTGGGGCCAGCCAAGTGGCTCCTTGGTTAAGAGGTGGCTTGGGAGCACCAGCTCTGAGCAGCAGGGCCCCGGTTCAGATCCCACATGAGGGCCAGTGACGCTGCGCCCTCTACAGTTAAGATGGTGAACAACAGCTCGACCTGGAGCTGGGCTGCCCTGAGTCGCCATGGAGGGTGTAGGCTGCAGTGGGGCTGGCAGGCAGTTGGCGAGCACTTTCATGAGCTGCCATGAGCCGCTGTGAGCGGCTGTCCAATGGCCGCCAAGCGACTCCCTCACCCGGGAGAGCGCAATGATAATAGCAACATGGGCCAGTGAAGCAACGTCCTCCACAACCAGACTGAAGAACAAAAGGACAGCAACTTGTCTGTTCCCCTTCCCCCATCCCTCAACGTTGTTCGTCTCCCCCAACTCCCCAATAAAATCTTTAAAAAGAAGAAAGAAAAAGAAAAAAACCACTTCACCTAATGGTGCATAAAGAAGCTGGACACATCAAAATAACCATGTTAAAAACAGAATAAAATAAAATAAAATAACCCTGTTAGTTGGGTACAGTTGGTTATATCAAGGAATATGGCAACTCTCTGTTTAATTTACAAAGCCCTTGGTGGGGAGGAGGAAGAGATGGAAAAATTTTGGGTGAAGGCTTTAAATGACTAGTCAAACAGTGAGTCATTGAAAGTTTCCATCTAATAACCCCCTCTGCAGAGGCAGAGCCCGGCCCGAGCGCTTTACGAGCCACATCGTAGTGTAACTTATAATGTCTCAAGGTTTTATTGTCTATTCTACCAAATGAATACATAAAATGAAAGACGCTCCGCGTTGGCTTTGAAATGTAGGGCAAACTCTGGCTGGGGAGGGGAGAAGTAAAGTGGCAAGAAAGAGAACAGGTAGGGAGACTGTGAGGCAGAGAACGCAGAAAGACTGGTGAAAGAGGAGGACGGAATTTTCAGAAGTTGAGAGGTTTTTTCCACGTTTGAGCTGCTGTCCGCTTCCCCCTCCCCCGCCCCATCTTGTGCCTAACAGGGCGGTGGACCACCCCCAGGGTCTGAAAGACTCGATGTCCGCGGCCCGGCGCCCAGTCGCGCCACCGCTCGCTCCAGCCCCTGCCCCCACTCGGTGACAGCTGGGGCCGCCGGGCTGCCACCAGATCTCCGCCCCCTCGCACTGCTTTCTGGGAGCCCGAGTCGCTTCCGGCTGCTCTGGGCCCCGGAACTTCGACTCCCGTCGGCCCCCGGGAAAACCGCACCAGGGTCGCGCGGGTACTGCCGGAACTCGTAGTTCCGTCTTCAGCTGCGCTTCATAGCCGGAAACGGGAACGGACAGTGCCGAGAACTACCAAGGCGAAGGTACGGGTGGCGGCGGGGTATCAACCCGCGCCGGGCGTGGGGTTGGCGCTGAGGCGTCGGAGGTGGTTGGGGTTGGGTGGGAGGAGATCCGCTCTCACACACGAGGAGGGTTGAGCTACCCTCGCCGTCGTCGCGATTGCGGAGAGGAGCCTGGAGCTGCCGCCGCGACGACGCCGGGGATTGTGTCGCTAGCCCCTGGCCCTTCTGCCTCGCCGCTTCCCGGGGTCAGTGCGGCCTGCTCCTTCCCGGCCGGTCGCCCCCGCCTCCATTTCCCGCCCTCTCTTCACCACACACACGGCCCCCCCGATCATGGATCCGGGCAGTGGTGGCGGCGGCAGCGGCGGCGGGAGCAGCAGCGGCAGCAGCAGCAGCGACTCGGCGCCCGACTGCTGGGACCAGGCGGACATGGAAGCCCCTGGGCCGGGGCCGTGCGGCGGCGCCGGCAGCGGCGGCGGCCCTTTGGCGGCGGCGGCGGCCGAGGCCCAGCGTGAACACCTCAGTGCGGCCTTCAGCCGGCAACTCAACGTCAACGCTAAACCCTTCGTGCCCAACGTCCACGCCGCTGAGTTCGTGCCGTCCTTCCTGCGGGGCCCGGCCCAGCCGCCGCCACCCCCAGCTGGCGCCGCCGCCAACAACCACGGAGCCGGCAACGGCGCGGGAGGCCCTTCGGGTAAAAGGCCGGGACGCGGGAGGAAGCCGGCTGCTAGGGCGGGAGCAGCGGCCTGGGGGCCGGTGCCACCAGGGGTAGGGTGGGGGTGGGATGGGGTCAGGCGGCGCGCCTCGCGGGGCAGGGGACGCGCAGCCGTGGGGCCCGGCGGCACGTGGGACGCTGACAGCGGCGTCGGCAGCCCTGGGTGGGGCGGCCTGCGTGGGGCGGCCGCGGCTGAGGGTCCGGCGGGGCGGGAGAAGCGCGCCCAGGACACCGGCGGGGCCTGGGGCCGCTCCTCCCCCGGGGGCCACAGTTACCCACTTGATGTGGGGACCGTAGGGGACAGAGCGGGGACGGCGGCGGTCAGCATCACGAGGCCTAGAAGTGAGGACAGATGGAGTCAGGAGCCTGTTGGTTGGGTGAGGAAAAATGCGAGGAGTTGGGGAGGACGAGTGCTCGAGTTCTCCCTTCACCTTAGGCCTAGGCCAGGAGCGTCTCTGGCTGTAATTTCTATTATTGAAGCTGTGATTACGTGTTAAATGTCTATGGCACCGAACCGGCCTGAAGGAATCCCAGGATGCATTGCAGTCTTGTGATCCAGCAGAAACTGCTGGCTATCAATACAAAGATCTTTTTCATCCTTAGCATTCTGTAAGCTTGTAAAGTTTACAAAGTGTCACAAAATTAGAGTTCCTCACTTAATATTAATGTGAGTGGGAAACTACATTAATTTGTGTGCTCTTTTTCTTAAGGGGGAGTTGGACTTTTCTCCTTGTCAGGGACACGTTTAGGATTTTCATTGCGTTAAAATCGTTTCCCTTGTTCAGGTTGCTTGGTATAACTCACGGTATCTCTGGTCATGTGTCATTACTATGTTCAGACACTCGAGCTTTGTTATAATAGTCACGTGCTTTTCTGACCATAGCTACTACACGTACTTTGTGTGGTTTCAAGTTAAGTTCGGTCTTTAAAAATCTTCCTGTGTTTAGGGGCTGCCTAAGTGATAGCATGCTTTCAGATACTGATTTTGTAGGAATAGCAAATGAGTGAACTTAAGTATTCTCTCTCTATAAAGGTGCATGTTTTAGGAACTGTCAGTGTTGGGTTAAAGAGAAAAAGAAAGGAAAGGGCTGCAAGTCCTCACATTATAGTCAGGGTATGGGGGGGATCATAGCCATTCCCAGCAATTTGTGAGAGCAGATTGTTGATTTCTCTTTTAAAGCTCTATGTTATATAGAACTATAATACTTATAGAGGAGCCTTGAGCAACCAGTAGGATTTCTTAGAAAAGTGGACATCATAACTCTCTAGGAGTTTGGTTTCTTCAGAAACTTTTGCTACAGTTTTCTTCTAGAGGCAAAAAGAATTTGAAGAAAAACTTTTGCAAAGTACGCATGTGAACACACAGTTTGGATTTGGTGGTTTTATTAACTGATATTGCTTTTACTTGGGCGGTTGATGTTTTCCCTTTGAACAGGGAAACAGCTTTTATTTCTTTGCTTAGATCAAGCCATTGTGGCTATCTAAACTATTGTAGTTCACCTACCAGCTCCTAAAAGTGCCTCTTTCCCATACTTTATCATGCAATTCCCGTTTATCCAGACATTTTCTTTTTGGCCCTTCCTCCTTACTCTAGTAGAGTCACCAGCAACACACTAGCTAGCCCTAAGACTGCATTTCCAGCCTATCTAGCCATCAGCCAGGCATCAAGGGACAGTGGTCTGGAATGGTGGCCACTGTTGAGTGACTAGGCATACCTCTTATGCAGGCAAACTTTTTCCTCTTCCTGATATTTGCTAATTTGCAATTTTACTCTTAATCCTTTTCTCTGTGGCACTACTGGAAGTTGGAGATGTAAAAAAGTGTAGGGAAGTGGTTGTAAGAAAAGCCCCTACATTATGGTCAACTTTTTCATCAGAAACCTATTTTGGTGTTACTGACTTTACCAGCTGCTTCTACAAAAGGTCACTTAAAGTTTAAAAAAGAGAAAAAACAAACAACTCTGTAAGATATCTATTTAAAAAGAATGGATTTTCTAAATTGAGGTCCCGAGTTCTGTGTGACTGTTGGATTGCATGTTACAGCCCATTCAGGCCTATAAAATACCATCATCAGAGCAGAGAGCTATGCTTGAAAGAAGCTGGAGAAAAAAATGGAACTAGCACTTAGATTGACATTTACAAAGGAGGAACCATAAAGTTTGCAGTTTTTTTATAGTGTGGAAATAGACAATAGAGCTAGCATGTTTCCTTTAGTTAAGCCATAGCTGAAATTTGTGGTGGGTATGTTTTTAAACTAGATTCAAGGTGAGCTCTTCAAGGTGTCTAGAGATGGAGCACTAGAATGAATGACTTAAAATATGTCTGTGTAGGATGAACATCTATTTTGCTTGAAAATAGGCTAATTTGTTTTTCTTTCCTTTTCATTTTTTCTTCTTCTTTTTTAAACTACTTATAATGTTGTTGCCTTGCGCAACCAGTAGAGAAAGATGCTTTTGAACAAAGTCTCACTCACCTTCACTGAAAGACTGCTGGTTATGCCTGTTTCCAGCCATCCCAAGTTCAATGTTGACTGAGGATCTCTTTAAAAATTTAATATAGGATTCCAAAGAAATGATTAAGTAGAACCCACTTAACCCTCCGTCAGGCGCAACTGATCTCACAGATTCATTGCACACAAAGATGCTGCTACTGTGCTAAGTCATAAACACGACTGGCGATAGGTTATGGTAGAGGGGGAAGATAACTGAAGCGATGAGTCACAATATTTAAGTTAACTGTTAGATATTTGAACGTTTGTGCGCAATGAATCTATGAGATCAGTTGCGCCCGACGGAGGGTTAAGTGTAATTCATTTTAATGCATCCTCTACATATCCAAGTAAGTTGGCTAAGGCATGCTCTTTAAAGTAGAGGTCCTGAAGTGAATGAAATATAGAAGACAAGGGTTATATGTACTAGAACAAACATTTTCTATGATAATGTACTTATTTTAAGTTCCAGTTTGCACCTATGCAGCCTTTTATTTTATTTTTTTAATTAGAAACAGATTTCGCAATGCTAATCTTACGGTTATCTTGTATCTTAGTCCATTTGGGCTGCTGTAACAAAATTATAGCAGCTGGGTAGCTGATAAACAACAGAAATGTATTGCTCACCGTTTTTGGAGGCTGGAAATCCAAGATCAGGGTGCCAGCCTGGTTGGGCAAGGGAGCTCTCTGGTGCCTCTTTTATGAAGCCACTAATCCTATTCGTGAGGGCTCCACCGTCATAGCTTAGGGCCTCCCAAAGGCCCCACCTAATACTTCAGGAGTTAGGATTTCAACTTAAGAATTTGGGGGTACAGGGGGTTGGAGGGACACAACGTTCAGACCACAACCCTTGGATTTTAGAACAGCCAAAGCTTCTAAAGTAACAGTGGTAGTGTTCTTTCCACCATTTCTACCCTTAATACCTTTCAAAACTCTGCCATTAAAAAAGAAGTATAGCATACAACCAACAGTCAGTAGGGTAGGTCCTCCTAGGAGGATCTGTCTCCAAAATGTAACACATTGTATTGTGGAATGTGAATTTTAAAGAGAAATGTTCTGTTTTGTAGTGTTTGGGTTTTGCTGAATGCCTTTTGGTGGGGGAGGGATTTTCCTTTGTTTTTTAATGATTGAGATATAATTCACATACCATAAAATGCACCTTTTTAAAATGTACAGTTCATTCGATTTTAGTATACATGTATTCACACAGTTATGCAACCATTGTTACTTGGTGGATGCTTGTTCATCGCTGAAGTGTCTCAAAGGTGACCTCTTCAAGGGCCCCAGAGTAGAGAAGATAATAGAATCAAAGTAGTAAAGCTTGTTTCCTTCTGAAGGATTCTTACACTTTATTGTTATGTTAAATGTTACCTGCTGACTGGTAGATAAGTTTAGATAGATGATAAATAAGGTTCTTGGCTTTAGATTTGTTTTCCTTTTCTTCTAAGACTGAAATGCCTGCAATAACAATTCTAATATGAAGGATTTTTCAGGCTTCTGGGGACAGTAAATGGAATAGAGTAGGCAGAGGAGATCAGGGAAAAGTATTGTTCCTGAAGTGTTAACGTCTTTTCCTACCTTGACTTACTGATGATTAGATTTGGGCTCTTGTTTCATGATTTTACATGCTTGAATGGCTGGAGCAGGAGGACTTAGGGAACTAGTGCTGTGCCATGTTGAGCAGCTGTTTAAACTGTTAGTATTTCCAATCTATTTGTTAGAAGTAAAATTTCTATCTTTGGAGCAGGTTTTATTTAATTCAGTTAATACATAGCTTTTTGCATTTGTTTATCCTTTGTTTATTTTTCACCTTTACTGGAATTGTACTGCATGAAAAGGCAGCAGTTAAAATTTATCAGGGTGAGTTAGGGAAATATTGTAGAGCACAGATTTTAAGTCTTGTTTTGCTTGCTTTTGTTTGCTGGGTAAGAAATGTCTTAAAGTGTTCAAATAGTATCTTCTTTCTGCTTGAAAAGAAAGGAATGAAAAAGATCTGATAACCTTTTGGGGTGAGTTATCAGTACTAGAATGGAAAATTTTGAGATGTGAATCTCTGCTTTTGCTCAGATATATGGATAGCAATTAATAAACTGCCTACAGAACGCAGGATGATGTTCTAGGCGTTTGAAATGACACCACCAAGGTGAATAAATTGTGGTCCTCAAGGAGTCTAGAAAGGGATCAGATAACCAATTTAATGGAAGATACCTGGTAAGAGGGCCATACAAAAGGTATAGAGAGCTTTCAAAGCTGAGGAATTAACAAGTTCTCTTATGCACTGGGTTGTTGGAAAAGTCATGACGTATTTTTTGTATGTTTTTCGTTGCAAAAATGCGTCATGACTTTTCTGACAACCCAATAAATAATTTCAATCTTATCATCCTTAATCATAAAACTAAAGATCTATTTTCTGCTAAGTGTTGTGAATAGCTTAAGGTTTTTTGGTAATTGAGATGTGATTTACATATAAAATTCATCCTCCTTGTTTCTAT